CCAGCAGGAGTGTGGGAAGGTTAAGAAGATGAGGCTGGCACCTCCCTAAGGAATTCACGGTGTTTTGGCTGGCTGGCTTGGGAAGTGTACATTCAGTCTGGAGAGATTCTGTCTGAGACATGGAAGCTAATAGATGCAGCAGAACTGTATCTGTACTGTCTCGTGGAGTTCTTTGGGCTGAACCTGACAAAGACAGACTCTCATTTGACACCTATTGGTTTCACAAGTGCTTGCACAATTTATTTAGAGAGGGGTACCTTTTTAATTAAGATCGCTCACAGTAAATTATTCTAAAGCAGTGTTGTTCAACCTTGGGAACTTTAAGATGGGTGGACTTCAACTCCCAGAATTCCCCACCCAGCACGCTATTGAACTTTAAGATGGGTGGACTTCAACTCCCAGAATTCCCCACCCATCTTAAAGTCCCCAAGGTTAAAAAACACCATTCTAAACCACTAACTGGTTGACTTAAAAATGGTGGCTGAAACAAGCTTTCGAGAAGGTGCCAGGTGATTCTGGCTCCCTTCACCTGGGACACGCGGTCCATCTCCGTCCCACAAACACACCTTTTGGCTTGGAGGCCTTCAGGAGGATGCGGATGAGTTCCGGGACATCAAAGTAAGCCGCGTAATGCAGGGCGTTCATGTTGGTCCAGCGGCTGCGCAGAGTCACATCTGCCTCTAGAGCCAACAGCTGGTTCGAGAGACGCACTGCAGCAGCTGGATCACCTGGGAGGGATGAAGGCAGAGCTCGGCTACAGCAAAACCGTCTCCGAGAGAATTTAACCCCACAAGGAAAATAACTGTTAGCAGATACGTTTGGAACGGCGCTTTATCCTTCCTTCAGCTCCTGTGGGGTAAACTCTAATCTAAACGATGGTGACCCTATTTTCTTGGAAAAAAATAAAGGACAAACCCGAAAAGAAGGCAAATCTGAAAGAGGTTCATAAGGATTAAAAAAAAAAGTAATTGTTTGTGCGGATAACTTTGCTTTACAAAGGAAAATTGAAAAGCAAAACCAAGAAAAATGATAGAAAAATGCATATTCTAATAAAGGACAGCTTTCTGAAACAAACAACCGTCCTTTATAATAAAGACATGGTCACTGTAATCTAAATTTTATAAGTATTGAAAGGTTTGTCAAGAAGGGGCTCAGAAAATTAACATTTCAGCTCTCTATTTTGGACTACTTATAATTTTAAATATACTATGGAAAGGTAGGGGCACTGTAGTTTAACTGGCAACATGTTTTCTTTTATTATTAGTTATTTATTTAAAAGATTTGTGTGGCCGTCCATTTTAAAGCGTAACTCTGGGCAGACCTCATCTTAAAGCACAATACAAGACTGGAGCACTGCATTGCGAGATTTTATTACGTTGAGCCAATATGTCGTTTATCTAACCCCTTTGCAGCTTCACGAGAGATATTTGTTAAATTTCATTTTATTTCCATGCCTCCGTAATATATAAATATTCTCATGCTGCTTATTCTTAAAATATATATATATATATATATATATATCAAAAT